ATTCAAAATAATTATAAGTGGTCTTCCTGATCGGGATGGTGGTAAGTGCTTTGGCTGTTGTATCTTAGTTTGTAATCCAAATATAAAAATAAAGTACTGCTAGTAAGTATTTTACAATTTTACCTTATGTTTCATATTATGCTCTGTATGCTGTTAAATAGCTTCGGATATTATAACAGTGTGACTTAATGGAATTAAACAGGGAAAAAAATAACATATAACAGCACACATCAACGAGACAAGTCTCTAGCCCTAGCTATAGCAGCTGTCCTGTCGAGAACATAATCCAAAGAACACAATCCATCCCAGTTGTAATGAAGAGTACTCCAGGACTCGAATCCGAGGGTCTCCTTCCTCTCTTCTTCTACCCCAAGCCTCTCAAGAATACTTTCGGCTCGCTAGAATTCTGCCTCCATGCAGCATAGACACTATGTGTATCCTCTGAGGCATCAAAGCCTTCTCCAGGATTCGAACCCGAAACTAAGATACAACAGCCAAAGCACTTACCACCATCCCGATCAGGAAGACCACTTATAATTATTTTGAATTTCAGAAAAAAATTCTTCCATTTTCATTTTATTCAGTTTTTCTTTTTAATTTTCAGTGGATAGGCAAAAAGTTACAAAGAACTAAAATCTTACAAACAACAGAACAAAAAGACTGAAGCCATTGTCTAAAGAGCGTTCTTGCTCCCCAGTATCTCGTCTCCTCTGTATGACCACGAAGAGCCCCACATCGAAGCAGGTGGTCCATGTCCATTTCTTCTCCAGAATTAGAAAGCGGGGAAATAGGATCGCTTGAAATGCCTACTCGGTGCAGGTGGGCGGCAAGGCAATCATGTCTTGTAGACAGACGGAAAGCCACAACCGTATTGCGTCTTGCACTATCAGGACTAAGAGGACTTATCATTCTCTAACTTTTTAACACTGTACGAGCCCGAAAATCTCGTAAGGCATTAGATGTAAATAAACTTTTAAAAACAGTTTAATCCATCCAATAGGAAATGGTTGCATTAGGACGTTATAGTTAGCTGGCACATCTTTTTGCAGGTAAGTCCGCTTGTTCATTGCCCCAAAGGCCACAATGGCCAGGCCTTTAAAGTGAGGGTTCTCAGGAATTCTTGACATTGCAAAATTTCAAGTGTTAATGGGTGTTCAACAGAGCTAATTGATTGAATGGCTGTGGGAGAATCAAGAAAAATGACTGCCTTGCAAACTTGTAATGAATAGCTAATAATTGCTGTAGGGCTATACAGATGGCTACTACTTCACTATCAAAGGAGGTACCAGTGTATCCTGCAGGGGCGTAGAAAGAAAAAAAGATTGCAATACACACCAGCCTCAGTCTTAAATGACAGTCATACTGAGAACCATCAGTAAAAATGTGCAGCCGTTGAATAGGTGGATATCTAGTCACAATGGTCTCTAAAGAGAGACATTTCAAAATGCTTGGCATTTAAAAAAAAATTATTCAAAATAAATATAAAATACCAGTTTAAGAATACATTTTCTTTGCGAATCTTTAACTTGCAGTAATAATCAGAAAATCGGGAAGTAGCGTTTGTAGAAGTTACAGGAGAGTTGAATATGAAACGTAATACTTTCCGTAATGCTTGACGTAGAGTCAATACAATCTAATGTGGAGAAAACAGAACGTAAACAACAGAGTACAAGGAAATTTTTTTTTTTCTTAAAGTTTATTGAATATTCATTAAGAGTTTTTTATTAACAGAATATTCATTAAAAATAAAACTACTGTTCATTAGATTTACAGAAGACTGTTGGAATAATTCTGTTGAATTTCAATCTTAATGCTTTAATATTTATTGTGTTTCCATGCGCAAGAGGAATCCTTAACATTTAACAGAGCTTTTATACTTTTGTAACAAAACAATATTTGATGTTATTTATTTTTTGCTTCGCAATTAAAGAAAATATCATGAGTTTAAAATATTCTCATTGAGAATTTTATTCTAAATTAAAACGATACTTTGAAAATATTCCTAACCAACAATGTCTTTAAAAACTGTTCTATTTTCTTTATAAATCTAAGCATGGGTCAGCTTTGAATAAAAGCAAAAGGAAAAAATGACTGTAGAAAGGGTTAAAAGAATTAAATTAATCTGAGTTAAAAAAAAAAAAATAATAAAAAATCTGAAAGCTTTCAGATTTTATATACTCACAAAAGGCTTTTTTTTTTTTTTTTTTTTTTTTTTTTTTTTAACATTTTGGTTATTACCTTTATTTAAATATCATGTTCTTCGCAACTAAGCCATAAAATTCAATTCAACAGTAGTATCATAAAATAATTTAAAAAGAGCATATCTTTAGAACTTCTGATCAGGGCTGTGGAGTCGGTAGGGAAAATGACCGACTCCAACGCTGACTCCGACTCCTGGAATTTTAAAGACTCTGACTGCGACTTCGACTCCAATTCCCTCATATATATGTAAACATATACACATGGGTTATAGCTTTTTTTTTTTTTTTTTTTTTTTTTATATAAAAGAAGTAATAGATGCTACAAAAAAAATGATGGCATAGCAAATTATTTAGATTAATTAGCATTTATTATGAAATGAAAAAACTAGCATTAGTAATTTCTAAGAAACAGTATAGCTTCGGCAAGATTTTCTTTGTTAGAGGACCATTTGATAAACTTCAGAGCTGAGAAGTCTTTCCACACTGACTTAAGTAGGAGGAAAAGAGCTGTTACTTTTAGGACTTCTTTCAACTTTTGAGGATAGATTTTTATATATTCTAAAAGTGGTGTCTTGCAAGAGCAATCACATTTCTTTAATTCTTCAAGGGCCGTGTAGAAATCTTTTCTTGTATTTTATCATTTTTATATCTAAAGGCTCTTGATTCTTTATTTTCATTCGCTTTGCCTTAGCCTTTTCAAACATTATCCAAATATTTCTCAAAATCTAATTCATCACTGGAAGAGGATGCTAGAGACTCAGTTCCGATGTCTGCAGTTTGACTGTCCTGATTTGAATACTCCAATTGTTCTGAGAATAATTTCATTCTTAATGAAAGTTCATATATGGCTTTCTTTGCCTCTTAAATTTGTTCGTCATCCAACAAAATTCGGTGTTTTGGATTTACATATATTGAACCCAGCAAGATCTCATTGTCTAGCAAACTAGTTTCTCTTTAATTCATTGAAGAAATAATTCCTTCTGCAATAAACCCTCCATTTCAGGAGGCATCAACAAGCATCACATTCTTCCATTATCGCCTCTTGTTAATTCTTCGGATTGTAGCTTTTTTGTGGCTATGTATGGCGTAGAAAGAAGAGTTTCCAATTCTGGCAAGATCATTCTACAATCTTTCTGTTGGTGAAACATTGGGTTATCTACATCTTTTAAAAACGACCTTAATTCAAACAACCTCTATATATCATCAATTATGTACTACCCAATCGCGTTGTTTGATCAATAGTTGCTCCTTTTCTGCTCGCTTCCTAAGAATGGAATCAATTTTGGAAATCCTTGCTATTGCTGCGTACCAAAATTTACCAATGAGATTTGTAACTAAATGAATCAGTTTAATCAATAATGGCAAATATCACATCCATCCTCCTCCCTTATATGTATTTATTAATATGTGAATAAAATAGGAAATAAGTATTTATTAATGTATATAGTTCATAAATAAAAATAATAACTCAGTCATTTATTTATTTATTTATTTATTTTAAATTTACTTCAATTTCAAACTATTCAACAAAAACTTGAGTCGGAGTCGACGTGTTTTTAGCGACTCCAGGTACGACTCCTTTTACCAAAAATCTGCCCGACTCCGATTCCGACTCCACAGCCCTGCTTCCGATATACACTCTAGCGCGATGGAGATAAAAATTCCACCCCCCCATACAATGTTGCCATTGCTCGCTTTCAAATCGTTGAGTTTTCTAATCAAAAATTCCTTAAAGTTTTACAAAATATAAAATAGATAATAAAACGAATTCCAAATTTGGGCTACCAGATGCTCGAGTGGAGATTCCAGATTCGAGTGGAGAATTATGTTATTCAAAATTTGATTTCTCTAGGTAACGTTGTTTTTTTCACAGTGCGAGAAACATCCATACATTCATGCGGATTCTTCATTATTAATTTCTTTAAATATAATGCAAGGCTGTAATATTTGGCGCCAACAATTTGTAAAGTGAAGTGTATGCCAAAACGAAAGCAAAATGCCAAAACGAAATTAATATCCCTTCTAGGCAATTCCCCTTTGGGCCAAAACAAAACAAAACAAAACATTTATTGTTGCGATATTAGTTTTCTCAAATAAAGAAGATCAGTGAAAAAACTTTGCTAGGTTAGAAAAAGCGTCGACTTAAAAAGGGAATTAATAACGAAATATTTTATGAATTGTGTTTTCCTAAGTACAGTAATGTAAGCAAAGTCTCGCCACCCCACTCATTCATTCGTTTTCGCTATGTCTATGCTCTGTAGGTCATTCTTTCTGGTGACAAAAAATTCGTCGGACTTCTTTGTTGTTCATATTTCATCTCATTGTAACGGCAATGTTCAATGCCGTTAGTTAACAGTTTTCTGCCTTTTTATATTCATTCCCCTTGGATTAAATATTGACACAATCTGCGCAAAACCCCTTTTGAAAGATGATCTTTTGTTGTGGAGACTAGCTTAACCGTGAAATTGAGAATCTTTTTACTATTTGGAACTTCCTGTCATTTTAAATAGCGTTGGGAAAGCCTCATATATGTGTTAAGCTCTCAGCTGTAGACCGCAATCTGAGCTGTCATTCGCTTCGAACTCCACCTTTAACCGTGCCTTCTACTTTATGCTCCACTCTTAGTGGTTACGGTTCTATTCTTGAAACCCCGCCTTTAAAGTATGATCTCTCCAATGATACACTAAGTAGGCGTTACCCTTTCTTTATGATTGACAAGATCTTTTGTCGAACACTCAGGTGACTGCTAAGTCCTGCGGCAGTTTTGGTTATTCGCGACCACAGCCAGGAATCTTTACCCTCAAGCTACATTTGCTAAAGAAGTGAACACTTGTAAAATTATCACATCAACACAGTTGTTGCTGAAGGAGTTAGTGTGGAAATAGCAACGAAAATAATGGGATAACGGGTAGCGAAGAGTTTTACCTACTTGAACACCTTTAATTGAAATTGAAGTCACGTGATTTGAAATCCTTCGGCATTTGTTGATGCAGCGTTAAATGACCAATCAGTGATGGGATGATTAAATTCTAAGCATTTGTGGCTCGTGCAAAATCTAGTTTAGGAAGATCAACCACAAATTTGACCTGTAATAGCTGAAATTGCACAGATTGAACTTCCACAAGTGAGTAATATATTTTGTCTTCCTATTTTTCTTTAAGTAAACAGATTAAAACCAGTTCTGAATTATCACAGTATGCATGGTTTACCACAAGGAAAACACTATTTTATCAAATATATTAAAAGTGGAATATATATCATATTTTTAAAACTTTAGAATTATTAGGGAATACCAAATGATAGTTGGAAAACAATTGGTTACTAAATTTATTGCAGAACTTATTTACTCTTTAAGTACGTTTTCATGTTTAGCATCTATGACAAATGTCTATCTTCCGCAGTTTGACTTATTATTTGATGTAGCGTTATTAAAACAACGTGAAACTTGCATAATTTTATAGGTTCTTCTGCTGTGACAAAAAGCTTTATTGTCAATAAAACTAAAGTTATTCTATAAACTGATTAATTGCTTTAAATAAAAAAAAAGTGATTATTTTGCCAAAGTGAATAATTTTAACAAGAATAATTTCCCTTAAAACCTGGTAATATTTTTGACGAGGAATCGCTTCCTAGCAAATGGATTATAATATTTTCGATCTTAAATAAATAATTGAAAAAGAAATTAAAAATTTTTCTTTGGCACTTAGTTTTTTTTTTTTAAACTTAATAAGTGTTCTAAATTAAGATATTCGTAAATTTTTAGACTTTTTTTAAATAGTTCTTTTTAATATTAAGCAGGTGAAAAAGAATTCTTTTAACCCATTTCACATTGTCTTTCTTATCTTTCTTGAAACGTTTTTCCAAGTTCTCATTTCAGTTAGAATTCATTTGTTCTAAAAAATTATTACGCAGAAAATAAATAAAAACTCTGAAAGCTTTCAGATTTTATATTTCCTCCAAAGGGGTGTTTTTTTAAAGTTTTGTGTTAACTTTATTTATTAAATATCATATTCTTCTCACTTAAACCATAAAATTCAATTCAAAAGCAATATCACAAATATATTTAAAAAGAGCATATATCTTTAGAATTTCCGGTACACAGTCTCACGCGCTGGAGATAAAAATGTTTTTGTTTTCCTTCCAGTGTTCCCATTGCTCGCTTTGAAATTGTTAAGCTTGTTAATCAAAAAGTCGTTAAAGTTTTACAAATTATGAAAGAGATAATAAAACAAATCCAAATTTTAAAACAATACAAGTTTACACCGACTAAAATGAACAGATGTAATTTCTTACTGTCTTATACATTCTATGTTTAGCAATTAAGTTTCATTTAAATCGTTATGATAAAAGGAATCTCGTACGAAATTAAATTGAGGTGTTAGAGAAGGGAAGAAGTTAACTCTACTAATGGAAATTTCAGAGAAAGTATCACACTTTACATAGGAAGAAAAGATAAAGAGTAGTTCTGCGGCTGAGGTACATAAATATGATGTAACACCTTTCATTAATCTTACTAATGACATAAATGCTTAAGAGATATACTGCATTGAGTCTTGATTGAACAGCGAGTATAGTATTAATAACAAGCCTTTTGCCATCTAAAAGTTTCAAAATATTGAGAAATACCTGATTCTTAAATGGCTTATCTTTTTCATGTCTAAGCAATGTTCTCTTATAATTTCAATGAAAGATTAAAGGGGGTTGAAAGACTGCAGGGGTTAAAAACAGCTTTATTGAAGTGGGAGGGAGAGTTATTGTCTAAAATCTTGAGATTAATACTCGGAGTCTAATACCCGGAGGAAGAGTTTTTAACTAATTAAAAATTTCAAAAAGTTAATATATATTTTAAAAATATAAAAATTGTAAGATAAAAAGAAATTACAATCTGATCTTAAAACACAGATTTCAATTTAACATTAGTTTAAGAATAAATCTGTCGAAATCTAAGTTGTAGAACATTCTTATTGTTAAAATGAGCTGTTCAAAATGGCAATGCCACTCAGTTGAAAAAAAAAAAATTGCTAAGCTAATTTTTTATTTTATTGGAAATTAGACATGAAGACTTCTGAAATACACAAGTCTATTTATTTAATAAAGAGCAAATCAAATTTTTCAATAACTAGCTGTGTATCTGTTTCATTGATCACTTGCTCAGTGGTAATATATTTTATTTTGTCCGGATATGAAACTCGCTTATAGAAAATAATAAACACCTCAAAAAGTTGTTTAAATGTGTGTGTGGCGGGGAGTCTAATGTAGCTTATGTAGAGAAAAACTGGACCTAAAATCACCGCTAAAGTATTCAAATTTTTGACGTTGTTCGAAGTCTCCTTCTTTTGTCCACCTTTCACCTAAAAGATGAACCTAAATATTAATGAACTATTTTGAGGTAATGAAAGTGAATAGTTAAAATGTTTTCTTTTTCCCGAGTCTAATCTCTGTCTTTATCGTTTATTGTATATTTTAGGAAAATTTTTTTGGGGGGAGGGGGAGGAGAGGTTACTTTGATAAAGAAACCTATCTTTTCTAAAAAAGGAAAAAAATGAAAGATGCTTAATATTTACATTAAAGAGAGGTCACTTCTATAAAGAAAGCTGTCTTTTCTAAAAAAGGAAGAAAATGAAAAGATGTTTATTATGTGACCTTAAAGTGGTATTCATGTAATTTGGAAAGTGTCCGTCCATTAATTTTTTGAGTGGAATTCTTTATTCTGCATCTTTTTTATTTTACTTGTAGCTATAAAATAATACATCTGAGGAAAAGTTGACATTCTATTTGGAAATTAGAATGAAACAAAAGTTCTTGTTAAAGCTCAGTTACTTTATAAATAATTTGCTGCCACTAAAAGACATTCAAATGTTATTAAGATATTTTAGAAGAGAGACTTAGGAGTTTTAAGATTATCTTGTAAGTAAAAGAGTGTTTTAAAGTTAACAGCAGAGCATTATCACAAAAATATTTTTTTTCTTTTTCTTTTCTTTTCTTTTTTTTTTTTTTTTTCAAATGTCAGTAATGTTTTTAAATGTGTTCAAATACAGTAATAAATTATATATACATACATATATATATATATATAAAGACTTCTTATTTTTTAAAAACTTTTTAATTAGTCCTTTGCATTAACTTCGAGAACTGATTTTCATGTTCCGAAAAATCGAAAAAAATTATGTTATAAGATCTAGTAAATGTATTAAGTTCTCAGCTAAAAATCACAGTCTGAAGAACATTCGCTAAGTCCTACCAATGTAACATACACTGGATATTCTAAAAGATAGTATTAGTTTTACATGATAATGCAACATTTGATGTCGATGATATGAACACGCATTTTGCTTTAGTTAAAAGATAAACTCATCAAATTTCATTTCACATTCATCAGAAGTTTACAATGTATAAGCAATAAGAAATTTCCTGCTGTGATGCAAGTGTACTACTGATTTTCTCTACCATGATTCCAATGATGTTTTCCGGAATTTCAATACCAACTTCATAAATTTCCTTTGTATAGTAATCTTGACTAAGTCTGTAGTACATATGATTTGAGTTTTTCTTTCTTCAATAAGAGAAGTGTTGAACTAGATAAATTCCCATAAAAATATATCATAGAAGGTTATGTCTGTAGACCGTTTTCAACTTTCTGATAGTATTTGAATAAATCATTTCATAATCTGGGATCTCATGACAAAATTCTCTATGCTTCTACAAAATTTAGTATTCTTTAGAACTACTAAAAACAGAAAGACAGTTGTGCTAGTTTTAAGCCACAACTTAATGATAATAGTTTTGGCTATTTTACGGTTTTGAGACAGTTTGGTGCAGAAATGACTAAAGAAAGGCAAATTTTGTGCTTGCAGAAAGACTTCTTAGAAAGACTGCGACTTCCATTACTCAGCATTAAGTTTGCTGAATAATAAAAAATTACTATAAAATTCATTTTAGAGACCAATGTCCTATTACAATTTCTTTATATTAAAAAAATATACTTTAGTTTATTTTGTTTCACATTGTTTTATATTGACTAACTACGTGATAACAGATTAAATAACAAGTTAATGATTTAGATCATAATCCCTATAAAAGTGCTTGGTATTTTTCAATCTCAATATAAATACTTGGTATTTGTATATATAATGCTGTGATTTTTGTTTAGTTGATTTTCAGATCTCATTTTGTAAAAAAAAAATTGAATTTAGACTCTTGTAAATTATTGTCTACGTAATAAATAAAAACTTAAGACTAATTGAGAAATTTAGTTTAATTTAATTTTGTAGATTTTTAAGGGCTGATCTGAATTTTTCGATTTTTTCTAAGATTGAATAATAATTAAACTTAAAATTATCTGAAAGTTTTTATCGTACGTTTATATTTAATTGATACTATGAAATAATTTACTTTTCGTATTATTTTAGATGAAATAAGCTCTAACCTTTACCTTGTGGGAAGTAAACTTTCACAAAGGAAGTACAATTTTACGGTTTGGTTAAAATCGTTCAATACACATCTTCCATTCACTGCTTATGATAGTCTATAAACCTCTCTTTTTTTATATAAATTGAGCAAAGAAATAGATACTTCGAAGTCTCCCTTAAACGACCGCCTATGGCTTCTGATCATTTTGGATTTCTGCTTCTTGTACTCGTCTTAAAGGAGTAATGTTCAATACATTCGTTTATTTATGGATTAAGAAATATTGGAAACTTTTAAAGGTGGTCATCTGTAGGATTGGATTGGATTATTTAATTATGCAAAGCACACGAGGGCTATCTGCCTAAAGGGAAGGATGCCTTCGTAGAGGACTTTCTAAAGGAAACTGGCTCGTATACACGTTACATGGGGAAAACCACGAAAACGCCCATTCAGCCAGCGCCCGTTCGGGGGATTCGAACCTCGGACCGAACTACCAGTGTTCAGCGACTTTACCTCTCGGCCGCTGGTGGGCGGTCATCTGTATGAGATAGTTGTTACGAAAGCTTTCTTTATTTCGCTCTAAATTTTTTGTTAATTATTAATATATCTTACTTCTATCATTAATAATTTAACTAGTTTTTTTTTAATTTATACAAATATTAAACATGAATTTTAATTTTATTTACAGACGTAAATTATTTGTTGTATTATTATTTA